TTCCTTATCATTTAAATATCATTTGATCCCAACACTCTATCAAGTCCAGGTTACCCTGAATATTTTTGATTACAACTAAATATTATATTTTAAGTTAGAATGGTTACCACTAAATTATTAATTTCGCAGTCTATGTTTTATACTTATTTTACAGAAAATCCAATCCAGAGGGTGTCACCCTCTCTCTGAAGGATTGAAACCTTTTTAACGCTATAATATGAGTATTCAAGGATTCAAGGATTCAAGGATTTTTTTTATTGTTGGCTAGATGTGAATTTGTTTTTTGGTGACAATGCAGGTAACAATTGAAACCTTTTGCCTACTCAAAGACCGGTTTTATGTGTACTGTTACCAGAAATGTGGGATAGAAAGTGAATGTATTCAGTTTACTTTTGAGAAAACCCCTGGTGTGTGTGATTTCCTTTTTAAACCATGAAAGAAATGTGAAATAGCCTTTAATATAGCTACTTAAATGTTTCTTAGTTAACTTTAGAAATATCATCAACAGTTCAGAATTTGTGTTGTTTCGAAGTTGATGAAAAGTTGAGCTGATTTTTCTAACTAGTTCACTTGCTGGCTGGTTTTCCGCTAGCTGCAAGGATTTATTCGGTCTAATCGTTGGTCCTTGGTCGGTTGAGTCAGTTTCGATGGTTCTTACTTGGTTACCAGTACCTTCAGGCTCAATTATGTCATGATCCACCAATACTAAGTTCTTTAAATGCATCCTTTCTTCATTATGAGAGTTCCTATTTATCCGTTCGCTATCTTTTGTTATTTCGACAGATTGGTTATTTGTACACAGCTCTTCGAGTTGGAGGTCATCCATCAGATTGTCATCCTTTTGTTCCTCAAAAACCGGATGAGGTCCTGCATGATCGTCTACTCCTTCTTCTAAGCCCGGCTTTATTTTTGCAGCACTCGAGGTTTCTGTTTCGAGAAGACCTGTGATTACCTTGCACAGGCTTGAGCCTTCGGTGGGTTTACAGTCGGAAATGGTTGAATCGGTTGCGAACATTGGCTGTCTTCTACTTGGTTGTTCATCCAATATTTCTAGCATGCAAGATCTTCGTTCCAAGAAACTTAGAACGCTTGGTAGAGTGGGCACTTCTGTGGGTGCGTCGGCAGCGTCCTCTAATGCTGCTAGTGTCTTGTGATCGAGCCTTTCTCGTATTAGGAATCCTAAAATTGGATCCCATGTCTGTGTGTCGATTTCTAGACTTTTAAGTGTGCTTAGAGATCTTTCGACAGTATCATGCAGCGCTCGGATTTGAGTAGCCGTCCCATTGATGGGCTCGTGGTCAAAAATCTTTGCGAGTGCAGTGAAGATTAATATTTTCCCATTTTGGTATCTGGTCTTTAATCGTGGCCAGGTGTCTTCATATTCTCCTTGGGAGAATGCTGTATCTGTTAATATATTTCTTGCTTCCCCCTTAAGTGCACCTTGAAGCAGATGTAGCTTTTGTGCAGGAGGGTACGGTTGATTATGAACTAGTTCCATGAAGAGGTCGTGGAATTCTGGCCATTGTAGGTATTCCCCAGCAAACTCACTAACGTTAGCTTTAGTGGCGAGTCATCTTTGCGTAACAGCGTCATCTCGTATTCTTCATAAAGTGACTGTACTTGACACAATTCTGTATCGGCGATGTCTGAAGCGCCTGGAATTACTTCTATCACATCATGAGCCTGTCTCACCAATGCCCATTGCGCATCGATGTGGCGCTGTAGTGCGGGTGTGATGGTAGTAGCATGGGATGCTAGGTTGAGGGATGATTCCATTTCGGTACATCGTAATTGCAATAGTCGGATTGCCTTGCTTATTGATGCGTCCAGCTGCTTTGGTGCTGGTGGTAGTGGGTTTGCGTCTTCTCGTGGTCGTGCCATTTCTCTAATCTCGGTGTCCAGATTACGAAACTGTTGCCACAGATCCTGTTAGACCTGGTAGCGGTGTTCCTTCTGGAGGACCTTGACGCGGTATGCCTTGTCTGGGGGACTTTTAGTGTTGTGCCTGAACTGGAGGGCTTTTAGTGAGGTGCCTGAACTGGAGGACTTTTAGTAATATGCCTGATCTGGAGGACTTTAGTGTTGTGCCTGAACTGGAGGACTTTTATTGAGGTGCCTGAACTGGAGGACCTTTAGTAATGTGCCTAATCTGGAGGACTTTTAATGAGGTGCCTGAACTAGAGGACCTTTAGTAATGTGCCTAATCTGGAGGACTTTTAGTGAGGTGCCTGAACTGGAGGACTTTAGTTTAGCGTGGTTCAAAAGAATCAGTTAATGATTTCTTGTGAGTGTGATCCTTGGAAATGCAAGGATCACGTCGGGGTCACCAATGTTTGATCCCAAGCGTGGCTTGTAGATCAATATAAGTTTGTTACGAGGTAAGTTACGAGGCCTCTTCCCGGAGGTCAGAAAGGAAGACCGCGGAGTTATAAGATGTGTTGATAACTGATTTATTGTGAATTTAGTACTAGCTTATATACTACTTGGATAACACGGAAGTTTAGTGTAAAGAATAGTGGAATTGGTTGTATTCTGAAGTAGGTCAGAATGTTTTGATTATGGTAGCAGTTTGCATGGTTGGGTCGGTTGACTCTGCAGAAAGTGCTGACTGCTTGGCGGGTCAGTGAGACATCGAGTCAACCGTTGACATTGACTATGTAGAATATGCTGATCAGCAAATAGTATCTGCCGTGGGTGTAACTGAACGCCTGATACTGTTACCAATAATACTACTGCTAGAGTTGTTGGTCGTTGATCATGTTGAGCAACATAGAGTATGAACGTTGGTTATGTTGATCAACATTGATAACGAACAATGCACTTGCCAATTGCTCCAAAGCATTGTGGAAAACCCATGTCCTCAAAACCCTTTACGTTTTGTGAGGAGTTGAATAACTCATCACAAATAGCAGCAGCTAGAATAACGGATGGCCGGCCGCTTACCAGTTACGCGGCGAATTTGCGTAGTAGCGGCGCGGCGAAGAGAGTTTGGAGACCAAGAAGTGTAGAGTGAGTGTTTGGAGACTTCGAGGTCAGGAGAGAGAACTCTCACAAAGAGAGTTTGGAGAGTCATGGCGGAGAGTGAAAGAGTGGAGACTCAGCGGGCAGAGCCAAAGTGCCGTGGGTGCAAAAGGAAATAACGGAACTGCACCGGACTTTGGACTCTGCCGTGAACTTTGGACCAGGAGGATGAGGGCCACATCGTAGCAGCGGAGCGGCACACAAGCGTGCCACGTGCACCAGGAGAATCAGCGGGACGGCCCCAAACCCATGGATGTCCAGTTTGAAGCTGGGCGAAAACAACGGGCCCAAACAGGAGCCAGGGACTTTGGACCTGGATTGGAGACTTCGCGGGCAGAGCCAGAGTACCGTGTGTGCAAAAGGAAATAACGGAACTGCACCGGACTTTGGACTCTGCCGTGGACTTTGGACCAGGAGGACAAGTGCCACCTCTCAGCAACAGAGCGGCACACAGGCGTGCCACATCCAACAATAGAATTAGCGGGACGGCAGCAGCATGCAGAAGAACAATTTAAGGCCGTGCGTGAAGGACAAGAGGGTCAAACAGGGACTACGGACTTTGGACCTGGAGTGGAGAGATTCAGCGGGCAGAGCACAAAAGGGAAATAACGGTTCCCGGAGGCCCTATATAAAGCCGCCGGGCGCTGGCAACTGGATCAGTCGATCACAAGGAATCAGTCCGTCAAGATCAGTCAAGATATCAAAGTGAATAACTCAGTCAATCAGTGCCAAGTAATCTACAAGTGAAAACACAAGTCAAGTCGTCGGAAGCAGCGCCGTGGGAGCCTACAAGGAGCAAGATCGCTACGTCGAGACGTTCGGGATTGGATCATCAGGAATCTCCGAATTGAGACACAGGTAGCTGAGGTCCGGAGGGCGTCATACGGCTAAGACAAGGCAAACTGTTCCTACTCCTGTCCGACTAAGGCCTCGCATTGCGTCTGGCGTGTCCCTCAGAGTGAACAGTCCGTTTGTCACCTCAAGGCGCTGTCCTAGAGAGAACAGGCCGTTGGTCATTTCAAGGCGCTGTCCTAGAGAGAACAGGCCGTTGGTCATTTCAAGGCGCTGTCCTAGAGCGACTAGGCCCGTCGTGATTTCAAGGCGCTGTCCTAGAAAGAACAGACCGTTTGTCAGTTCAAGGCGCTGGCCTAGAAAGACCCACGGTTTTACGAGCCGTGGCCGGCGTGTCCGGAACCCCAAGTACCAAAAGCCACGCTACGTCCAACCTCACAACCAACGCACCCCGGAGCAGAGCATCGGACATCGAGCTGCACGGAAACGTCACGAACGAGCTAGCGGGTGAGGCCAGGGTGGAACGTTCGTTTACAGCAGGCGTAAGGCAAGGTGAAGCACTAGGCAGCCTCCAGGTATCTACCTAGACTGTCGGCGCGATCCGAGCAAGAGCCTAGTGGGACCATCCGGGACAGAACCAGGGACAGGCGGTTGTGTGTCTATAGGCGTTGCCCTGTAGAGCGCAGCTCTTGTTCACCCTAGTCTGAGAACGGTGACGCTTCCCTAAGCCCACACGGCTGATCTCCTTGCGAGTCCGAGGCGCTACGTGTGGTCGGCGAGTCAACGCATCGGAGCAGAACATCGCCGAGCGTCCACAGAAAGCTACAGGGAGCCACAAGACCGGAGCACGGCGTCAACGAGGAAGGCGATCACCGAGGCGTCGCACCGTCGTGGAGAGACGAGTATTACTAGAAGGCACCGAGGACCACGAGTGGCGACACCAAGGCCAACCGAGCCATCAAGCCCGCTGTAATCATAACCGCAATAAACCCAAATCAAACCCGTGAATTCTGTGCTTTCTCACTGATCTACTGGGCGGTCACGTTTATATAAATTTGGTGGGACGAACACATAACTTCTCTAAGCTAGCCGCACGAATCTCGTAGCGAGCAGACCTACAAAATCAGTTCGTTACATCTGGCGCCCAAAACGTGATTGTCCCAGCAGTGAAAGCAACGTAAAGCAGAATGGGGAAGAAATGGATTTACCGCCTCAAGACAGAGGATTTTGCCTACGTCGCAGAGAGGCTAAATATCGCTCTGGAAGGAAGAACAGACGACAAAAGGAAGGCATTTTCAGAATACTATTCTGAGACGGAGAACGACCCGAAACTTGCCGGGATCTGGGTCGAGCTGGAGGCAGCATACCCCGAGGAAATAGCCCCTAGCATCACATTGACTCCCGCGGAAGAGGAAGACCTATTGGCAAGCCTGAGCATCGACAATATGCAACAGGAGGCACAGAAGAGAGTGCCAAGTCCGCAGAAGAGAAATACTGAGGGCGCACAGAAAACGGCAGCACCGGTACGGACTCCGACCTCGACACCCAGCCAGCCGGATTATGCAAAGGTTGCGAAACAAGTTCGCGAATGGTCCTTTAAATTCGACGGCATAGAGAAACCGTTCGAGTTTCTGGAACAAGTAGAGTGGTCCGCAAACACATACGGCCTGGATTTGGATATGATTCCCCGCGCCATGCCAGAATTACTGAAAGGGAGGGCATTGAAGTGGTTCATCTCCAACAACAAACAGTGGCAAACCTGGGCGGAATTCATCCAGAGCTTTAACACATACTTCCTGCCGAGAGACTTTTTCTCCACACTTTCGGACAAAGTCAAGCAGAGGAAGCAAGGCTACGGGGAGGCGTTCAAGGACTACATGATCGACATAAGGCCACTTAGTTATTCGCCGACAGAATCCCTCAACATCATCCGGCAGAACTGCACACCGAGCCTAAAGATCGCCCTCAGAGCATACACGGTGGCGGACCTGGATACACTCATGGACCTAGCCGACGAGTTTGAGGAACTGGAGAAGGAACGGGAGACATTTGCCCAGGACAACAAATTCGCCAGGGCAAAACCAGCAGCTCAGGCGCAAATCACGTGCAGACGGTGCGAGGACACTGGCGACCAGGAAACCCGTGGGAACAGTCAATGTCCACCGCACCTACAAGCCCACCGACAGCAGGCAACCAACCCACCGTATGAACGCCAGCGGGCGCCGATACAACACCAACAGAGGCAGCCAACAAACCCCTTGTGGAGGCCACCAATCACAACGCAGAGACCACGGGAGAGCACCCACATCACAGACCCCCAGGAGGCCTGCCGAAAGTGCGGCGGCCACGGGCACTGAGAACGCGGCTGTCGAAACCAGCGTTTGTTGTTCCGCTGGGTGTGCGGCAAAGTGGGTATCAGGAGCGTCGAGTGCTGCCAAGGAGCGGGAAATGGTCAGCGATCTCAGCCGCAGAGAGGCGGGCGGGGATCGCAAAATGCTTCCTCTCCAAACTAACTGGCAAGCTGATCGAGGAGGAGCAGCAGTTGTCCGCAGCGGTAACAATTGGTGGAGGCACGTATAAAGCCACAATCGACACCGGGGCAACAGCGAGCTTCATAAGCGAGGAACTGGCGGACAGTCTGGCTGCCCTTGGAAAGATCACAAGAACAAGACGGCAAGTTAGGTTGGCAGACGGGAGATGCGGCGGAATCAATGCACAGCTGGAGGTAGAAATCGCATTCGGAAATAAGCGATTGACCATGAGCCTGCTGATACTACCAGGGGTAGTGGATTCGTTGGTGTTAGGATGGAATTTCCTCACGCAAGTCGGAACGGAGATAAAGTGTGCTGGACACGAAATAAAAATACCAGCCAGAACCCGACACAATGGGTGGCTCGAGGAAAAGCTATCAGTGGCAGTCATGCAAGAGACAACTGAGGACAACGACACAACGGAATTCCTGGAGAAAGAGCTAGCGGACTTCAATACCATGACGGGAACATCAAACATGGCAGAGCACCAGATCACGATGAAGGACGACAAACCTATCAAGCAGCGATACTACCCCAAGAATCCAAAAGTTCAAGGGGAAATCAATGCGAAGGTAGACGAGCTCCTTCAAATGGGGTTCATAGAGCATTCAAAGAGCCAATACAGCTCCCCCATCGTGATGGTGAGAAAGAAGACAGGCAAGTGGAGACTATGCGTAGACTTCAGGCAGATCAACGCGAAGTCTGTAAAGGACGCCTACCCCATGCCCCGCATAAACTACATCCTAGATCAGCTTAAAGAGGCGCGGTACATAAGCAGCCTGGACCTGAAGGATGGATACTGGCAAATCCCACTGGAAGAAAGCAGCAGGCAATACACGGCTTTCACAGTGCCAGGCAAAGGGCTATTCCAGTGGAGGGTAATGCCATTTGGTCTGCACTCGGCTTCTGCAACGTTCCAACGAGTTCTGGACCAAGTAATCGGACCCGAAATGTCACCGCATGCATTCGCCTACCAAGATGACATCATAGTGATCGGACGCACGCTGGAGGAACACACAGAAAACCTAAAAGAAGTGTTCCGACGCCTGAAGGAAGCAAACCTCAGGACTAACCCGGAAAAGTGTTAATTTTTCAAGAAAGAGCTGCTGTACCTAGGACACCGAGTGACTAGCGAAGGAATAGGTACAGATCCGGAGAAAGTTGCGGCCATCGCCGAACTGGAACCACCCTCAATCGTCAAAGAACTTCGGCAATACCTGGGAGTAGCGTCGTGGTACCGCCGATTTGTGCCAGGTTTTGCCAAAATAGTCAAACCATTGAACGACTTGTTATGCAAAGGCAGTAAATGGGAATGGACACAGGAGCACCAGATGGCATTTGAGGAAGTTAAGGCTAGACTTGTGGCAGATCCGGTATTAGCATGCCCGGATTTCAACAAAACGTTCACCCTGCAAACGGACGCCAGCGACTACGGCATCGGAGCGATATTAACCCAAGACACGGAAAGAGGGGAGAAGGTCATATCCTATTCAAGCCGGACGCTCAACGGCGCTGAGAAGAACTACTCAACGACAGAAAAGGAATGCTTGGCAATTGTCTGGGCGATCCGAAAACTCAAGCCGTATCTGGAAGGTTACCACTTTAAAGTAGTAACTGACCATATGGCTCTGAAGTGGCTCAACAGCATAGAAAGCCCTTCAGGAAGGATCGCCAGATGGGCCCTGGAATTGCAGCAGTACGACTTTGAGATAGCGTACAGGAAGGGACAGCTGAACGTGGTGGCAGACGCTCTGTCAAGGCAGCCATTGCCCGAAACGCACAGAGGCATAAAAGAGACATCGGCGGCAGAAGCTTCAGCAGCGTGCAGCTGGTTTCAAGAAATGTGCGACAAAATAAGGACCCAACCGCAAAAGTACCCGGACTACGTTATGGAAGGCGAGAATCTGTACAGGAGCATACCGCATAGAGCGGGCAGTGAGGACGTTGTCACATGGAAGATGTGTGTCCCGAGAGCCCTACGAGAAACAGTACTGAAGGAAAATCACGACTCACCAGCAGCTGGACACGTAGGAAGCCGAAGGACAATAGCACGTCTGGCAGCCCGATACTACTGGCCTGGTATGCATAGAGACGCCAAAGCCCACGTAAGGAAATGCGAAACCTGCATGAGGTTCAAGCCGAATCAACCCGCAAGAAAACCCGACGGAGCGAGCAAACAGGACGGTCAAAACGATGATTGCACAGTTCGCAGGACAAGATCAGCGAACATGGGACGAAAAGTGGCCTGAGATCATGCTGGCCGTCAACTCAAGCATATCGGAATCCACTGGATACACCCCATCGTTTCTTACCCAAGGCAGGGAGCCACGACTACCGAGCGCCCTTTACGACAGAGAAACCTTAGGCACCGGACGAGCCACGGAAGCCCCGGATGAAAACGCGCAGAAACTAAAAGAGATCTTTGAGATCGTAAGGCGGAATCTGGAGAAGGCCTCCCAGGAACAGGCTAGGTATTACAACCTAAGGAGGAGGCAATGGACGCCGGCGGTGGGCGACGTAGTCTGGGCTAAGGAACACCACCTGTCAAAAGCTGCAGAAGGGTTTGTCGCAAAATTGGCACCTAGGTACGACGGGCCCTACCACGTCGTAGACTTCGTCTCCCCGGTGATCTACAAAATACGGAACGTAAACACGAAGAAAGAACGGACCATACATGTAGTCGAGCTCAAACAGCAACAAACACAAGACACAAACGAGCAACAGCATCAGGCAGACGCAACCGAGAAACAACAACATTGAAGACTCCAAGGATACGAGGACACGCCAGGGAACCGCCGAGGAAATTCCAGGGAACAGCCGAGGACAAGCCAGGGAACCGCCGAGGAAACTCCAGGAAACAGCCGAGAAACCGCCAGTAAATTGCCGAGGACACACCAGGGAACCGCCGAGGAAATTCCAGGGAACAGCCGAGGACAAGCCAGGGAACCGCCGAGGAAACTCCAGGAAACAGCCGAGGAAACGCCAGTAAATTGCCGAGGACACGCCAGGGAACCGCCGAGGAAATTCCAGGGAACAGCCGAGGACAAGCCAGGGAACCGCCGAGGAAACTCCAGGAAACAGCCGAGGAAACGCCAGTAAATTGCCGAGGACACGCTAGGGAACCGCCGAGGAAATTCCAGGGAACAGCCGAGGACAAGCCAGGGAACAGCCGAGGAAACTCCATGGACCATCCGAGGAAACGCCAGGAAACAGTCGAGGACACGCCAGGGAACCGCCGTGGAATCGCAAGGACACATTAACAAGGATACAATCACAAGGATACACCAACAAGGATACACCAACAAGGATAACATCAAGGACACTGCGAGGCAGCCGGATTGAACATCAGGCCTAAGCGAGAGTCATCCAAAATACGCCAAGCAACAAGGATACAATCGCAAGCATACCAAGGATACAATCACAAGGATACACCAACAAGGGTCCACCAACAAGAACACAACACCAAGGAGACAGATACAAGTCAAAGCGAAAACCTTAAAGAGCCCAGAACCATAACGGCCAAGGTCTCGTGAAAAACTAAAACCAAACCAAGTCGTTGCCATGTCGAAGAAAGAGGGAAGACGGCACAGCAGAGAGCTGTACCAAAGAGGACGGCTCGAAACCGAGGTTTCGTCAGAGGGGGATCAGGCTACAGGCGGTCATTCGAAAACAAGTCATCATGAGTTCAAGAATTACTCGAGCGGAAGCACGCAGGAGGATGGCTGAACAGCAGCAACAAGAAGGAGCCAGCCCGGGGCAAGGATGGTCGACCATCCGTCGGCCTACCCCAGCTCCGCGGCAGATCCCGGCGCAGGTCAGGGATAAGGATCCCATGCCGGAGCCCGTGGTCAGCTCCGATAGCGACGTCGAAATTATCGGCGAGGGAGAGGAGGAGGCGAGGGAGTGGAGGAGGCGAGGGAGTGGCGTCTCCGTAACGCGATGGGTCCAACCCGAGACCATATTCCGGTCGGGGTCACGGGCCACGCTAGGCGGAGGCGGTCGAAGCCGAAGGCCAAAGTAGCGGCCCCATTAGGCCATGCAGATGCCATCATCCAGGCCACGGTGCAACACCAGCAGAAGTTGAAGGCGGAGACGGACGAGCGGCAGCGGCAGGAAGAGCAGCGGCAGCAGCAGGAAGAGCAGCGGCAGCAGCAGGACGAGCGGCGGCGAATGATGTGGCAGGAGGCCGAAAAAGCGCACCGACGGCACCAACAGGAGCAGGCCGAAGTCGAGCGCCTGCTGCAGAGGGCGGAAGAGGAGGAACGCCAGTTGTGGGAGCCCCCACAAGCGGTCCCCATGACTCCACGGTACACGCCCGAGGAACGCGGCCCGAGGACGATCGACCCCAAGGAGTCGTGGATTCCGTCGCCACCACGCTGGATCTCGGAGGTGCCTCCAACGCCCAGGTACGAAGGGGCATGGGAGCAAGGCGCGCCGACGGACGACGTCTCCGTGGGTGTGGAGGAGGCGGTGAAGTGGAGGCCAGCGCGACCGCCCACGCCCCGGTTCGAGCAGCAGCAACCGCTGCCCGAATCACCGCTGCCCGAATCACCGCAGCCCGAATCACCGCAGCAGCAACTGCAGCCCCAATCGTCGCAGCGGCACCTCCAGCCCGAGCCACTGCAGCCCGAGCCGCCGCAGCCACAGCAGCAACCGCAGCCCGAGTCAGAGGCACAGTTCGTGCGGGCGGAAATCCCGATGGCCCACATCAGCCACAGCACGCGGAGTTTCACGGCGGAGGGTGTGCGGTGGCGGCAGCAGACGGTCGTGTGGACCTGGCCGGAGGGACCCGTGGATGCCGACGAGCCGCCAACGGAGACGCGGATTTGGGAGGAGGCCCCGGGCGTGGGAGGTAACCCACGCGATCCTCGACGAAGAGGCCGGCCGGAAGTCTGGAGGCCGCCAACGCCGACGCCAAGCACGGGTCCGAAGGAGACGCCGTCGCCAACGGAGGCGGAGGTCACAACGGAGCACGACGATCCGGTGGAGAAGGGGTCTTGGATATGGCCCGAGCCCAGTGGAAGCAGCAGACCCGGGCTGCTACGCCAGCACTCGGCACCGGTGGCGACAACGGCGGCGAAGCGAGTTAAGTTGATGCGGCAGGTGTCCGCGCCCACCAGCGGAGAGTGGCAGGAAGTCGTTCAGGACGAGTGGCCAGCGGGAATCCTGGAGGAGCCCGAGGTGGAGTTAGCGCGACGGAAAGGCGGCAGGCGATGCGTCCGTGTCACTGTGGGTGGCCGCGCGTACCGTGTGCGGCTATGTGCTCGGGATTTGCGGGTGTTCCGTCAATAAAAACGCAGCAGAGCAATTAAAACGAGACCGAGTATTTACAAAGGGGTAATCGAAACGAAAAACACACACGAAAAGTTGGCTGAAAACAAAGCAGGGGGGAATACATGGGGTGGCAGCAACCTGAAATAAAACAAAAGGTTAGCTTTGCGGGGAGAAAGAGGAACAACATGCCAAATACTTACCTGTTGCGTGTGTCCGCCGCCAAACAGGAAAACAGAATCTGTTTCATACGTCCGCGGGCATTGCCAACATGGAGCAAAGCCTGATCCGCTGAGGACATGTCAAGGGCAGATGGAGGGCGAAGGAGTGCTAGAAAGGAGAGAGAAGGATGAGAGTGAAAGGAAACGAAAGAAAGTTGAAGAAACTTACCGAGAAAAATGCAGAATCACCATGAACTAGGGACGGGGGCGCCTTGATAAGGCGGTCGATTGACACTGGACGATAGTGCGATCGATGGGCACAAGCTAAATGGAAATATCACGGTGAATATCGCTGCGATCAGGTGGCAACGCTACACCTGCGATATCGATAGCGGATGATATCGATAGATTATGAATATCGGTTCCGAGCGGAACCAGATCAGCGATCGTCGCGGGAAATTCAAACTACGTGCCCGCTGGCATATCGATAGCCGATGGTTATCGATGCCCAGTGGGACCAGATGGAGGATCGGCGCGGGAGTTTCAAAATTGCTAAAGAGATGCCGACTTGCGCCGTAGAAACTCTCGGAGTTGAAAGCGTCGAGGAAGCGTCGAGGGAGCAACGATGGAGCAACGAGGGAGCGCCGAGGGAAGCAGCAGAAGCAGCGCAAAGACTCAATGGCTAGGATACACGAGGAAACGCCGGAGAGTAGGAACGAGTCGTCTTTAAAATTTCCCGAAGTAAGGGGGGAATGTGAGGAGTTGAATAACTCATCACAAATAGCAGCAGCTAGAATAACGGATGGCCGGCCGCTTACCAGTTACGCGGCGAATTTGCGTAGTAGCGGAGCGGCGAAGAGAGTTTGGAGACCGAGAAGTGTAGAGTGAGAGTTTGGAGACTTAGAGGTCAGGAGAGAGAACTCTCACAAAGAGAGTTTGGAGAGTCATAGCGGAGAGTGAGAGAGTGGAGACTCAGCGGGCAGAGCCAAAGTGCCGTGGGTTCAAAAGGAAATAACGGAACTGCACCGGACTTTGGACTCTGCCGTGAACTTTGGACCAGGAGGATGAGGGCCACATCGTAGCAGCGGAGCGGCACACAAGCGTGCCACGTGCACCAGGAGAATCAGCGGGACGGCCGCAACCCATGGATGTCCAGTTCGAAGCTGGGCGAAAAGAACAACGGGCCCAAACAGGAGCCAGGGACTTTGGACCTGGATTGGAGACTTCGCGGGCAGAGCCAGAGTACCGTGTGTGCAAAAGGAAATAACGGAACTGCACCGGACTCTGCCGTGGACTTTGGACCAGGAGGACAAGTGCCACCTCTCAGCAACAGAGCGGCACACAGGCGTGCCACATGCAACAATAGAATCAGCGGGACGGCAGCAGCATGCAGAACAATTTAAGGCCGTGCGTGAAGGACAAGAGGGTCAAACAGGGACCACGGACTTTGGACCTGGAGTGGAGAGATTCAGCGGGCAGAGCACAAAAGGGAAATACGGTTCCCGGAGGCCCTATATAAAGCCGCCGGGCGCTGGCAACTGGATCAGTCGATCACAAGGAATCAGTCCGTCAAGATCAGTCAAGATATCAAAGTGAATAACTCAGTCAATCAGTGCCAAGTAGTCTACAAATGAAAACACAAGTCAAGACGTCGGAAGCAGCGCCGTGGGAGCCTACAAGGAGCAAGATCGCTACGTCGAGACGTTCGGGATTGGATCATCAGGAATCTCCGAATTGAGACACAGGTAGCTGAGGTCCGGAGGGCGTCATACGGCTAAGACAAGGCAAACTGTTCCTACTCCTGTCCGACTAAGGCC